ATTGCTGTGTTATTCGTCTACTGATTTTTTCATTTCAAACTATAGAATTCAACAATGTTTATCATATTGCAAAAGAAATATTACTTTTTGTTCAAGACAAGCAGTGAAAATTAAATTATAGTAAAAAATTTGACCAAAAATTTTGTAACGGTTTTTAAAATTATAAATTTGTGAGCAAACAAGAGCAAAATTTGTTGCTCAACTTAAATTTCATTGTTTTTATAGTTAATTTAACTTACTTTTAAGCCTTTTTCGAATGTAAATTAAATAGTAAAAGACTCTTTAGGTATCAAGTAATTGTTCTTGACCGATTAAGGTTAATAGTTTTGATTTAAAAATACATTTTACATTCAATTTGGTTTTCAGTTAATTTAACTAAAATAACTCATTTTTAATAAAATCTATTTAGATCATATGATAGAAAAAAGCAAGCTCTACAATTTTTGTCAAGCTTCCAAACATTATCTTGCTTTCGTTTCAAAGAAAAATCGATTTCAAATGTTAATTTGTTAATTAAACGTTAAATTGGTGCCTTCAAAAAGCACCTTCATGGCAGGTGGTGAGTTTTACTTTTGTATCACTACACTTAATGTCGGCGCTTACAGGTGGGTTCATCGAATACAAATTCCACAATTCTGAGGCCATTATTGCGCATGTATCCACCCCTCGGTCTAGTGTGCGATGAGGGTTTCGCGAAGCTAAGTCAAGAAGTAATTGTTTACTGATTAGAAAGATTTTAAATGCAAAAACGATAGACATTCGCCGCAGCGCTCTAGCAGCACGTCAACTTAAGAGCATCTTAAAGGCAGATGAAAGGTGTGAACCTTCGTAATTTCTTACACTTAAAAGAGCCAAAAGAGCCCCACGATTATTATTCAAGAGGATATTTTATCTTTACATATTCAACTGTCAATGTTTTGGTCGAGAGCACTGTGTCATTACTCTTTGATTTCTTGAATTCTAAAAATTCATTATACATCTTGATGCCATTATAGAAAATATTATTTTGCTATTTTGCTTTCGTGTAGTTCTTATGCTGGTATTCATTATTTCGCCGCGTTGGGTATTTATGATGTTTGCTAGTCTTCTTCATATGCTGCTGTAAGCATGCCAGTGAGAGGCCTATTAATAGACATCAAGTTGAGCGAATTGAGCATTTCGATTCGCGGTGTGCGATATTCAACTTTCAGCAATAACCGAGCAAAACGATTAATGACTTTCTGAAGCTCATTCATTTGCTTATCATTAAGCAAGAACAATACTGTTGCACAGTATTTGAAATGCGAATAGACAAGAGATGATACGTATAGCTTCTTACTTTTTAAATTGAGCTTTTGCTCGCAACGTTTCAGAACATAGAATTTCGCATTCAGCTTTCTCAAGACATATTCAAAATGATTTGTGAACGTCAACCTGGAGTCTACCATGATGCCTAATTATTTAAAATCTGATACTATTTCAACTTCCTCATCATTTATAATTATCGATTTTGGTAGCAGAAGTGATTTATTATTGGTGATAAGCATAACTTCCGATTTTTCTACATTCAATGTAAGTTTTGAGTAACAGAGCCATTTAAAAACGCGTGAAAGATCTTCATTAAGGAGGTCAATTTTTTCACTAAGCTCACACGGCTTACAAGTAATATAAATTAATGTAACATCTGCAAAGAGCTCTATTTTTGAGTACTGAATTACATTAACAATGTCATTAAAAAATATTATGAACAAGGTACAACTTAAGACTGAGCCTTGTGAGACGCCTATTAAAATGGGTAACAAGTCAGAGATTGCAATGCCGAATCGAGTTTGTTGGAAACGATTGTTAAGATACGAGCCGAACCAAGTCATTACTTTTTCATCACAGCCATATAAACGCAATTTTTGGAGCAAGAGCATACGATCAACAGTCTCAAAAGCTCTCTTTAAATCAATAAAATCAGCAACAGTTACGAGATTTTTGTCAATAGCTTCTTTCCAGTTTGTAAGATCATTTGTAATCGACGTTTCACAGCTGTGTTGTTTACGAAAACCTGATTGCTGTAATGCGAATAATCCATTCATTTCGAAATGATCGATTAATTGATCTTTTACTACACGTTCAAGAATTTAACCAATTACAGAGGGTTAATTGGTCTCAAATCGCTCACTTTCAGGGAACCTTTGACTTTCTGTATTGGGGTAACGGTGCTGACTTTGAAAATTGTCAGGCACGACACCATTGGATAATGACTCATTTATAAGAGTGGTTAGGGAAATCATGAAATCTGGGTTGCTCGTGGCATCTAAAATAACTCTTCCAGTTATGTTGTCATGGTAGTACTTGTTTTTCATTTCATTTGCATACATTTGGACTGTGTTGTGTGTTACTTGGAAAAAGGAAAATTGCGAAGATGAGGAAGGGATATAATAGTGTATGGGCAAGATCAAAAATGAATTGTTTGTGACGCTTAACAATAATTTACAATTTTTGAATCAATAATGCGAAATATGTATTTAAGACTTGTGTTTTTCTTAAAGTTCTTGCCAAGACCTATATTTTGGTGTATACCAAGTATCTCTTAGACATTGCATTATAATTAAAAATTAATTTAAAGTGCTAAGCGTCACGAACAATTTTGAGGAAATTCGATTTTACACCATGTTGCAAATGTAATATCTCTGCGAATACTTCATTAATCAAAACGATTTTCCACCAGATAATTAAGTAATCAGATCATTAAAAGTTTTGTCTAAAATATACAAAATGGCGGATTTGTAAGTTAGCTTAATTCAGCTTTAAAATGTTGAAGCTGAAATTTTGATATGAAGGAAATAGTTGAGGAACTATCTTTCTTTTCAAAAAAGGTTACATATGTAATTTTCTTTAAGTTTGTGAGAGAAAATTTTCAATTCTACTATAATTAACCAAGTTATGATGAGTTTTACAAAACTAGTCATAAGTCATTGCTGTGTTATTCGTCTACTGATTTTTTTATTTCAAACTATAGAATTCATTTAAATTATAGTAAAAAATTTGACCAAAAATTTTGTAACGGTTTTTAAAATTATAAATTTGTGAGCAAATAAGAGCAAAATTTGTTGCTCAACTTAAATTTCATTGTTTTTATAGTTAATTTAACTTACTTTTAAGCCTTTTTCGAATGTAAATTAAATAGTAAAAGACTCTTTAGGTATCAAGTAAGTGTTCTTGACCGATTAAGGTTAATAGTTTTGATTTAAAAATACATTTTCCATTCAATTTGGTTTTCAGTTAATTTAACTAAAATAACTCATTTTTAATAAAATCTATTTTGATCACATGATAGAAAAAAGCAAGCTCTACAACTTTTGTCAAGCTTCCAAACATTTATCTTGCTTTCTTTTCAAAGAAAAATCGATTTCAAATATTAATTTGTTAATTAAACTAACTTAATAAGTCGCCATTTTAAAAAATGAATGTTAAAAAGAAACTTACTATTATTAGCTATCATGTAGTGAAGGAATCATATTAATTAAGTTATTAAAAGCAGAGAAATCTGAATTTGAATATTTATTCCCTTTTTTTCTGATCTTGCCCGTATGTCTTCATTCATTTGTGGTCAATGTTACTACGCTCTCTAGGAAATGCAAATTTATTTTATTGCAAATGCTTTTTGAATCAATTTCCAGTGTGTCATCAAATTTAACAGCATGAATGTGATCTTTATCATTGTTATCATAAATGGATTTTAAAGTTTTCCAAAGTTTTCTAGGATCGTCTTGATTGCTTGTTAATTCTTTCTGAAGAAATTCAGATTCAATTTTCTTAAGCTTATTCTTATATAAATTTCTCACTCGAACATAGTCTCTCCAATTAGCATCTGACTTTGTATAATTCCAACGAACTTTATTTTGAATTTTCTCAGTTTTTAAATCGTGAAGCTCGTTGTTGCACCATTTTATGGACGTGTTGCTTTTTCTTAGCTTTTCTGAAAGGCTAGAATTAAGGTATGTCATTAGGCAATTGTTAATAAACGAAAATTTATCATTAACATCAAGAGATAAATCAAATAAACTCCAATTGATTGACGAGAGATGTGCTGCAAGATCTTTTTTTGAGTATTTTGACCAATCTGTATACAGACGAGATGTTTCATTACAATGAAACTTGCGATTGAAAAAATCGATGACAATGAAGTTGTGGTCAGCAATGTTGCAGTCTTTCCTGACTAATGGCTTAAGGTTCTTTTGATTCGTTCAAACCCAGTCAATTATTGTGCTGCTTCTCTTGCACTCTCTTGTGGCAGTATCGATGACTTGTTTAAGATTATATGACTTTAATTTGCGTATCAGACTCGCACATTTTGAATGATCTATTGAAATCGTAGTTGAAGTCTCTAATTAGATGAAAATTTGAAGAGTTGTTAGCCAATGTCTCGCAAGTATGATCAATAAAATTTATGAAATCGGAGTGAGTTGAACTATGCCCTCTATAAATTAAACAGAATGTTTCTTTACAATAGCCATATAGAATTTTAAACGACATTGCCCATATATCATTTTCACTGAAAGAATCAAAAATGTCAATTTTTACAGACGTATGAACATAACATGTGTCTGTTTTTAGAATCAATTCGATATAGCACATAATCAGCAATGAAAAGCTCATTGTCATTCATGTTTGAAATCGTCCTAGTTTCTGCAAGCATTAATATTTTTGGTTTAAGATCTGAAATAAACATTCTAATTGAGGGTAAGTTTGCGATGAGACTTTGAGCGTTTGTATACCATATGAGATTCAGCTTTGATTGCTTTAAATGCTTGAATTAAGATGTCTGTTTAAAAATTTGATCGGTAAATGAATCTTAAAGATGATTTTTTTATCTAAAGCAAATACCGCAAAAAATATATTTTTACCCTAGTTCATAAAGAAAAATGTTCTAAAAAATTAATTGATTTTATTTCTTTAATTTTAGTTTTTATTTATATTTTAATATTTATTTTTTTTTTATTGACAACTTACATTTAAAATTTTTTAATTTATTTTTTTAAACTTTCCGAGGAACTGCCACTTGACAATGTTGTATTTACAACAATGTTTTTAGGTGTTGATATAAGTCTAAATGATGAACTATCGTTTTGTGGAATAGCTTTTACTACCAAATTTGAGGCTAATGATTGCTCAAATGAAAGTGCAGAAGAATTTGCTTTAATTTCAGTTGACGAAACAGCAGGCGGTATTTTGTGCTGTCGAATCCCACAAGTAGGTGTGGTGAGGGTTTGAAAAAATGTTTGCTGAGCCGGACTTTTAATTGTGCAAGAAGTTTCGATTTGTTTGCAATTTCCTAACGTTGATGATGGCAATGTCAACTGCAGAGATGAGTTCTTAAAAAGGTTAGCAGTAGGAAGAGAAATTGAAACTGGTATACATTGAGAATTAGTCAAAGATGAAACAGATGTAATTGTATCAAAACTATTAGCATTTTGTCTAATACAATTGTTTGAATTTTGAACTGAGTTTTCTACTGTTGACGAGTTGCGCTAGAGGAAAAATATTTTTATATCAATTTAAATTGTTAATTGTATATTTAAAATTAATTTTACATTTGTGCAGTATTTTTGGTGAGTTTGCCAGTGTACTTTTTGACAGGAAGGTCCACAATATGACGTGTTCCAACAACAATAAAATCGTGCTTCTTTAGTACAGTTTGAGCACCAGGTAACTCTTTTTATTTCTCGTTTGGTTGATTCAACAGCTCTTTGTTTTTCAATTTCACATTGCTGACGTATTTCTGCTATTAGTTTGATCTTATCTTGGTCACTATTTTGTTGAATGATTTGAATTTTTTCATCTAAAATTTTATTGAAAAAAATGGAAATATTTTTCAATCAGTATAAAAGCATGTCTATTAGTTTAAAGCAGAGATCGAAGCCGATTTTTTCGGCTTAACTCAATTTTTGATTTTTTTGATAGAAAAAAGCTATTTAACTCACATTTTAAGTATTTAAATTGAACTTTACATGCTTTACTATGATTCTGTGTAATATTTTGTCAGCATGTAGCTATAGTGAGCTCAGAATTTCAATTTAGCCGATTTTAAGCCGAAATTTAAGCCGATCGGCTTAAAATCGGCTAAATTGAAATTCTGAGCTCACTATAGCTACATGCTGACAAAATATTACACAGAATCATAGTAAAGCATGTAAAGTTCAATTTAAATACTTGAAATGTGAGTTAAATAGCTTTTTTCTATCAAAAAAATCAAAAATTGAGTCAAGCCGAAAAAATCGGCTTCGATCTCTGGTTTAAAGGGTCATAACTTTTTATCTGATGGCCTGACGATATTTTTTTCGTGACCAATTGTCCAAAATTTCAGAAAATATTTTGATTTATTTTTTAAAGGTCAGCACTACTTTAGAATTCGACCATGTCAAAATAAATTATGCGGAAAATATTTTTAAAAAAATTGGCGAAAGTCCTCGTGTTATATATCGAGGGACTTCAGCGCATTTTTGTCTTAGCGATGAGTATTTGATTTTCTAATTATTTTGCGTTCATTTAAAGATCATTAGAAGATCAGAAGATCATTAATTTTAGTGTAATTAACAAAAAATTATAATGAATGCTTATATAGAAAGGATTTATTATTTAACGGTCAATAAATAATTTGAAATTTTCCCGCTAATAGTTGCGCTTCAAAAACAACTATAGTATAATTTATAATTTGTAGCAATGAATTTTTATAAAGCAAGGGTTTATCATTAAACGTTTTATTGGAATTCAAATTTTTTAACGATTAATAAATAATTTGAAATTTTCCCGCTAAAAGTTGCACTACAAAAACATCAATTATAGTATAGTTAAATAATTTGTTCCAATGAATTTCCATACAGAAAAAGTTTATCATTTAACGGTTTTATGAAATTCAAATTTTACAACGGCTAGAAAAACTTGAAATTATTGAGGTAATGTTGCACTACAAAAACATCAATTATAGTATAATTAATAATCTGTAGCAATGAATTTCCATACAGAAAAAGTTTATCATTTAACGGTTTTTTGAAATTCAAACGCGGTTTTGTTTATGAAATAAAAAATTATTAATTATAGTATAAATACACTGTTTCAAGACTTTTAATTGTTCGATCGGCCAATAAATCAATAGTAACGGAGCTAATAAAACAAACCTGAGCTCTCTACGATGTCTGGTTAAAAAGTTTTTCTTCAGACGAACGAACGATCAAAGTGCATTATTAAGCTCGCTTTTTGTATACAAGTATTCAAAAATGCGCTAAAAACCACAAAACAATGCTTTATTTGGTTTTTAAGTCGTATTTCTAGAAATTACGTTTCTAAGGAGTGCCTATTAAAATAACGAATTTTAAAATTTCGAAACTTCATTTTTACGAACACTTCATTTTTACGACCTTTTCGACTTTTTTTATAAAATTCAAATTCTGAAATGTCGTTAATTTCATCACGTGTTCTTTTCAATAATAAATCTGCAAAAATAAGATTAATAGAACAAATGTTTTTAAATGTATGGAATTAAAACGTATTTTTTTTTTCAATATCACATTTGTTTTTTTCCATGTGTATGTTTAAAGGAAAGAATTTGTGTCTATCGAAATGGATATTGACAAATGTTTGGCTGGAAAGCCACAAAAGCATAGAATGCCAGGTTTTGAAAAGACAGAGCATTCCATTAAATCAATCCTGAACCGTCGAAAATCCGTGCCACGAGTTGAAACATTAAAGGCTATTGCAGGAGTCAAAAATGATTTAAGAGCTTAATTGTGTTTGTTACTCCTTTAAACATACACATGTAGTCCATAAAATGTGATATTGAATAAAAAAATACGTTTTAATTCTATACATTTAAAAAAATTTGTTCTATTAATCTTTTTTTCTGCGATTTATTATTAAAGAGAACACGTGATGAAATTAACGATATTTTAGAATTTGAAATTTATAAAAAAGTCGAAAAAATAATTTTTCGTAAAAATGATATGGTCGTAAAAATGTGAGTTCGTAAAAATGAAGTTTCGAAATTTTAAAATTCGTTATTTTAATAGGCACTCGTTTCTAAGATTTCTTGTAGTTTAGGGTCGTTCACAAACAAGTCCTGAATTCATGACTAAGATCAAACTTAACAATCTAATTTAACTATTATGCATCGTTAGAAAGGTATTGACTTAAGCTACAATTAAATGAAAACATAATTAAACTGGTGTATCGGATAGAAACCCAATGCGGATATATTCATAGTGTACCATCAAAAGTCTTATGAATAGACCAAGATTTTCTCAGCATAAGTTTGAAGCTATAAAGCTAGCGAGTCAGCTGAGCTTCGTTCAGCATAAGTTTGATGGTATAAAGCTAGACGAGTCATGATGAGCTTCGCTCAGCATAAATTAAAAGATATAAAGCTAGCGAGTCAGCTGAGCTTCGCTCAGCATATGTTTGAAGGTATAAAGCTTAACAAATATTCTTTAAAAGTTTTTTTTCTGAAGCAACGGCTGTTCCTACCTTGCCAAAAAACTAATCAGTTCTTTTATAGAGCAGCACGGATCAAATGTATAAATCTAGAAGTCTCTACGAGGTTTTGTTATTGAGATTTCTTGTCCATTAACCTGTTTGCTTGACCAAACACAATACATTCACACGTGAATACGGTGTACCCCCCTTTCCCCTGCTAAAACTCAAAAAAATATGTTTTTAAAATTTTGTATTTTTTCACGGATTAGGACGAAAAAAGCTTTTTGATAGCACTTTGAGGTAGCCGGTCAAAACTATATTATTTTAATTTTTGTTTTAGGCAAAACTATTTTTTGTTTAAAAGTTAGGTTTTTTAAATATGAAACGTGAACTTATCAAAATCACACATACCATGAGACATTTTAAGAATCCTAATTTCATCAGCATGTTCTTTCTTTAATTTATCAAACTTTAGTTGATTTTCATTTTTAAAGTTATGTAGTTGCTGCTTAGTCTTCTCTAACTCAAGTTTTAAAAGAACATTTTGTGCATCACTCACGCCAGATGATATAGCGCTGATTGTATCAATTAATAAAGATTTAAAGTAATCCGTCATTCGATGAGCATTTTCAGAAAAAAGTGTAGAAACAGCACCACTTTCTTGACAGAATGTATTTCCTTCACTTGTAAAAACTCCCGACGGTTTTGGAATGAGTGAGGGTAAATCATTAACTTGATATGTATGTAAGGAAACGGCAGATTTTCTTTGAATGGCATAAGATCCATTTGTTTCATCTAAATCGTTGCTAAGCGATTGAGATTTTTCTGAGGAATTTATTCCGTTAAATGAAAAAACTTCAGGTATACACACCATAGCATTTGTATTTCTTACTGGTGGGGCTTGAAGTGAGGAGTCTACGGAACGATTACTAGTTATTGCTAATGAATTTGGAAAAGATTTTCTTGCTCTTGATTTTGAAGGAAATGAGTCATTACTGTTGTCGCTTGTTGATATTAAAATGGTTTTGCGTACATTGTTACCTTCACTAACCAACTTAGCTATATCATTGATAGTTACTTGTTCGCGTTCGACAATTTCGTTGTCTGATAAGGGCTCATTTTTTAAGTTCAAACTCAAATTGTCATCTGCTTGCAAAACACTTTTTTCCAATTGTAAGTGTGATTTTACAGGAATGTTACTATTTATAATTGTAGGTTCGCAAATTGATCGATTAATTGTTGAATTAACTGATAAGCGCCTTACAATATTACTTGCTTTTTTAGATTCTTTATCAACTGATTTACTTCTATGGAAGCTATGGTTATTAGAATTGGGTTTTGAAACTGAGATAGATCGTTCGCATAATAAATGAATTTCGTGTGTTCCTGAAGGTATATTATGACTGTCTGCAGAAACAATCAAAGGCATTTCGTTTGAAAAATGTTTCCTTATTTTTTTCGAGGGTCTTTCCGGGAGTAGCTCTTGCAAAAGTTCATTATCTCCGTCAATATCTGCAATTTTTGTTTTCCTTTTTAATTGTGTATCTGGTGTAATCGATCGTGAATTTACAGTTTTAATTTCCTTTTTTTGCTTTGATTCATCTCTAAGAGATTTTCTTCTCGCCGTGGTATCATTTTGTTCGGGTAAACTTAGATTAATTTCATATTCATCAGAATTTTCCACGTTTAATCTCTTTGAAATTGCTTTTTCTGAATCACCTTGTACATTTCTCTTCAATATTATTGTTTTAACTCTAGATTGGTCACTGCTCTCATATCCATCCTCATTTCTACTCAATACTCTATACAATATATGTTTATCTCTTTCTTGATTATTTTTCGGATTTTTTTGTTCTATTGTTTGTGTACCATCAGAAGTCTTTACAATTTTTAATGTTAGTTTTTCTTTTTGATTGATGTCGTTTTCAAATTTTTCAACGTTCGCAGATTCTTTTCTAAGATTTGGTAACTGATTCTCTAGTTGCATTTGAAACACTGCTGCATTCAGCAATTCTCGCGAATTTGCGTACCTAAATTATTTAAAAGTAAATGATCGTCTTATGATTAACAAAGAATTTTAACTGTAAAAATAATTACAGGTATGTATAAATTCTTCATATTTTAAACTAAAAAAATGTTTTTACCTAAACCCATATTTATCACGAATGTTTTGTATATATTCATCTTTTTCCTTTATAGCATCTGCTATACCCTTCTGTGTTTTACTCGCTCCTCTATTATTGTTAGGTACTGAAGCTCTAGCAATCTTATTTGGATCCTTTTCACTAAAAATTAAGCAATGAGCTGTTGGAACCCAAGCTCTATCATGTGCTCCAAAAAATCTCACATCAGCATAAAACTTTTGATTATCTATTGACATTACTTTTGCCGGCCAATATGGATACTAAAAAATTGATATGAATAAAAAATATTTAACACTTAGAAATGATAATAACAACAAATAATTTTTTACAAACCCCTTTCAATTTGGCCCATATCAGCAAATGTGGTCTTTTACATGGAATTGTAAACCAATTACTTATAACAAAAGAGTTTGAGTAACAGTATACACATGCTTCCATTTCATTAATTTCCGTTACAACAAATTTTAAGATATTCTTTAAAGATTTCATTTTGTTTTTATCAATAATTGTCCAGTTATGTTCAAGCTGTTTTATATCATGCAAAAATGCTTCGGAAACTTTATAATAATTATTCATAATTCTATCCTCAATAGTTTTTAATGATATTTGTGTAACTATTAATGGTTGATTTGATTCTTTTGCTGATTTAAAATGAATCTCATTTTCGTAACACTCACGATCAGGATAAGTATTACGTATTTTCTCCAATATAGTGATCAACATTTCTTTAAGTGTGTACATATCAATTTTAGGATGATTATATTTGTTTAATGAGCTTTGTTGTATTTTTTCAATTTCAATGCAATCTGCGCAAATGAAGTCATCAGGATTTTTTGGTATAGGTGTAAGCAAAAGTCTTGCACAATGTCGGTGTAGTGAGCATTTGCAATTTCTGCAGGCTAGTGATAAAACAGCATTATCCAAGTGACATTTAAAACAAAACGAATCCCATCCAGGCTGAAAGTCCAAATATTTCGTTAATTAAAGCATGTATAATGAAGAAATAAAGATCTTTAAGTAGAATTCAGTGATTTACATACTTATATCTAGTTATTGAATTGTCTAGATATCTCATTTTTGAGAAAAATTAGTTAAAAGTTGAAATTTTTAGAAAATCACATCCGTGGAATTGCCCACATGAGACTGAGGTGCACATAATTGATATTGTATTGGTTAAGGGTAATTCCATGAGAAATTTGTGTAAAAAAATTAATTAAAAATGGATTTTTTGCACATTTTTGCTTTTCAATAGATAGTAAGACTTCTGTGACATGTAAAAAGTCATAAGGTATGTAATTTGACATTAATATTCTATCTGAAGTGGATGATTCCCGAACAGACAAAGAGCATGCTCTCACTGAGTATGCTCACTTAAATGTACTGACTGAGTTAACTCGTGAGCATACTCAGCTACTATATTTTAGTAAGCATACTCATTGAGAGCATGCTCTTTGTCTGTTAGGGATTGGTAGGGTGACCATCTGCGTAGTTTTACAACGGGCAGTCCTGTATTTCAAAACCCTGTCCTGTATAAATTTGAAAATTTTGTTCCAGGTCCTGTATTTTTTTCACGAAAATTTCCGTTGATTTTCAAATTTTCCTTTGTGTCCTGTATTTTTTAGGAAATTTATCAAATGTCCTGTATTTTCATAAAAATTAGATGGTCACCCTAATGATTAGTCCTAAAAATTGATTCCCAGACAGTGTTGCAAATGTAGATGTCTACACTAGATGAAGAATGTAGATTCTTCAATAGTTTTTGTCTAGCTAAGAAACTTTCTTCATAAAGATCGATTCTACATGTAGAAAGAAAAAAACCATCTACATGTAGATTGTGTCTACATGTAGAATCTGTCTACATGTAGATTCGATGTAGATGTCTGTAATTCTACATTTTTTCCAGGTCTACATCAGAGAAGAATGTAGAATCGTAGACACAATCTACATGTAGATGGTTTTTTTCTTTCTACATGTAGAATCGATTTTATGAAGAAATTTCTGTCTCAGAATTTATCTGATCCAGACAAATAGCCAGAATGCAACACTGTTCCCAGACCGTTAGTTTCTAACACTATAAATGTTAGTGGGTAATTCCATGAGTAAACGAAACTGAAAAAAAAACGACTTACAATTTTTCTCAACTTGTTATTTTCAAATTTACTTTGACCGTTATAACATAATCGAAATTATTCTTGTGAAATAAATAGTTTATCGGAAATAATCATTAATTAAAGTGTTTTAACAAGAAATTCGTTTTAATATCTATCAATAATCATTTTAAATATTAAATAACGTGAATAAAAGTCTAAAACATCTTAAATACAGTGAAACATTTAACGGTGTAAAAAGATTTGAATATTTTTATCTCACGTGTGTTTTGTAATAATCGGTTGAAAATTAACCGTTTGACGCAGTTTTTCTCAGTTTTCTCGTTAATTACAGCATATTATTAAGTAGAACTCACATCTATTTGAAGATAATTTAGTTTAGAATTACTTAAATTACTCAATCACTGGCTAAATCATGTATATGAAGAGAATTTTCATGAACAAATTTCACATTTTCTGAAGATTTAACCGTTTGACAACAGTTTTATTAAAAAAATTAATTATAGACATACTTATGCTGTTAAGTTTTAATTGTCATAAAATCACTTCATATTAAGCTATAAGATAAGCTCATCAAAATGAGTTAAATGTTTTTAATTAAAGAGAATAACACTTAAATTTTTTTTCTTTCGATTTTCCCACTCATGGAATTACCCAGTATAATATTTAATACAAATCAAAATTTTACATCATCGATATTGGTTTATTTTCCAATATAATTTTTCGTTCGTTCGTCCCAGGAAAGACTTTTTAACCAGACATTGTAGATAGAGATATCAATACAAATAAATGTTTTTAGAATTTATTAGAAATTTTGATTTTTATGAGCGTCGCTTAGTCTTTTTTTTTTCTTGAAATTGATTGCTTGGTAATTCACCATTCTTTCAATCTTTGTACCAGTTGGAACTAAAAAGCAAGCAATTAACTGTAAATTATTAGTTTTACTGAAGATAAAAAAAGACTAAGCGACGTTTTGTCTAATCCATGAGAAAAAAAAGATTGTGTAATTAAAAATTAAGCTTAATAACGACAATTCATTAAAAAAACAATATTAATAAATTGATAGAATGATATGAAGATGTTTATCTAATTTTCATTAAGAAAACGTTTGAGTTAAATTGGTTTTTCACAGTTTTTTAATGATACATTTAAAGAAAATATATCAAACTAGTGTATCGGGAAGAAACCTAATGCGGATATATTCACATCGTACCATCAAAAGTCTTATGAATAGACCAAGATTTGCTCAGCATAAGTTTGAAGGTATAAAGCTTAACGAATATGCCAAACATTCTTTAAAAGTTTTTTAAAAATTTTTTTCATCCAAAGTTTAACTTTATAAAAATCACATTAGCCTTTGGTTTTTAAAAATCTTTAGAAAGCAAGGTTTTTCGCTTTTTAGAAGCAACGGCTGTTCCTATCTTGCCCAAAAACTAATCAAATCTTCTATAGAGAAACATGAATCGATTGCAAAAACCCCGAAGTTTCTACGATATCCTGTTATTGAAATTTCTTGTCTATTAACTTGTTTGTTTGCTTGCTTACAGAAAGCGTATTTTGCGATTTTCTCAGCAATGCCGCAACCAATTTGAAAATCTGATTTTTGCAAAAGATGTAAAATTTCAGGCGCAAACTTTACTTCTCGGACTTTTTATAACCAATTTTGCTTCGTTTTCTCACAAAATGCGAAAATCTGATTTTCAATCTGAACATAATCAATAGATTCACACGTGAAAACGGTGTGAATATAAAAAATACATTTGCAGATATATCAATGAAAGCTGACAAAGTTATAACAAAATTCACAAAAATTATTCGGGAGTGACGCTTAATTCTACGTCAAAAGAAAGCAATTTTTGTTTTCTTAAAAATAAATTAACTTTGAAAAATGTCACTTTTGTGGTTTCGGAGATATTTAATTATATATTTGAATATTAGGATAGCTGCACTAAATCTGCTAAATCTGTCACTACTCCATCTGGTAGAAATTTTTCAAATAGCATGATATTTCAAAACATAGGTCTTATTATGTGCTTTTAGGAACCAAAAACCATTTTTCACTTGGTTGAGTATTTTTCATACAAATTGAGTTTGAATAAAGAATCTCAAAAACAGAAAATTTGCCTATACCTGAGGACCTGCTATGCAGCAGCAGATGAACCAAAAAACTTGAAAATTAGGAAATCATCTTGTATCAATGTCAGCTTTAAAATGAAACATTGTCGAAGACTTATGGTGAAACTTTTGTAGCGGTAAGAAAACTGTCGCCAATCCCAAGAGTGAAGTTTCTGGAAAGATAGTCAATAAAATCCTTACGTGCTACAAACAATGGATCATGGATTTCTACCGAACAATGAAATGTCGGAACTTTACGACCTAATTCCGGAACGTAGATAGTCTGTGGGGTTATCCGAGCTTCCAAGTATGGATTCAACCCACGTTCACGTCCCAGATCAAGTTTCCAAACTGATCCGTACTCTGGGTAATCCAGAGTGACTTAATATCGGCAATGAATTGATGCTCGAAAAAATTCCCAAATCTAATTTTGCCAGTGTTTTGTCTAACTTCCTGCTAAGCGACTTCCAAAATAGGAAATCTAGCTAGATAAACTTGCTTACTCAACTTTCCCAAGTAAACCTTGGATAGTGTAGTTGATGCCTGTACCTCTTAAAGATCCAGACCAAAAATGTGCTTTCAAGCACTAAATATATACAGATTTCCCTCAACTTATGAGGATAGTAATACCTGATTATGCGAGCGTCAAAATAGAGAGTCACAATTGGAATAAAGTCACTAATCGGGCGTTGTAATGGGTAGTTTTAAGTCCAAAATAAGGTTAACGACAAAAATTTTGTTTAATTCACTTTTATTAATGGTTTGCTCGCGTTTAGTAAGTGAACTCGATGTTTTTTGTAAATGTACTTATTTAATAATAATAATCCATTAGGATTTATGCTTAAATTTTATATAATATCTGATATTTTTAATTATAAAATTTTGTGTTTTCTCGTTTTCTGTCTCTCGAAGTAAGTCCCCTCTTCCTGTCTCTTAACTACACTTTTCCAAAAAACGCCTCATTTCCTCTGTTTTTTAAAAAAAATTAGAACAGTGTGCAATGGTTAGAGATATTGAAATAATGTTTTCAATTCCTAGGAGTGTTATATAAGAGCTTTATTTTAATGTGTAAAAAAGTTTACAAATTTGATGTTTTGGTACCGGTGTAGCTGAAAGCGTATGAAAATCCAAGGAAAAATATCTTTGTGCAGGCACAACTTTTTGTATTGGAAAAAAAATTGTCGAAAAATGAAATTTTCGCAATACTTCCTTCCGATTCAGTTTAGGACCGAAATTTTGATTGGAACTGATGAGAATCATGATTTAAGATCTTTTGACATCCAAAAATTTTTAATTTGATGCTTCAGTTCCTTTAAATTTGACATTTTCAATTTCGTTTGTGGAGCACTTGGAAATTTCATCAGAGTAAACATTTTTGGGTTTTTTTTTTCATAGCAATTTTTGCTCTGTCTCCCCCTGTAAATAACACAAATCAATAACCACAAATAATTTATTTAAAGACAAACTATGAAGAATTTTTACCAAATAGTTTAAAATTTGTCGAGATATAGGTTACTTTTGATATCTGACGACTTGTAAAATTACTGAGAAGCTTTTTGTTTGCAAAAAGTTTCATTCATCTTCAGTGACAATTCTCAATATTGAGGAAATTATCAGTGAAAATGTTTCACAAGCAGCCGACATTGAGATGACAAATCTCAAACCAAAAAAACAAACAACAATGAAGAAGTTTCTCAATGAAGCGAGTAAAGCAGAAAAACGCCCTCGAGAAGT